ACCATGCCGCTAGGGAGCCAAAACTATGAGTGCCGGAATTGGCCCTACCTGATCCTGCGAACGCCCAGCGGAGAGATGCAAAGTGCTGCAAATATAACACCTATCGTTCAGAACTTACCTTGGGCTATTGAGCCACCATGCCTTGAGTCTGGTCCAAGTCCTTTCAGCCTGTACACACTGTTGCTGATATGCCTGCACTGTTTCCGACCAGCGCTGCGTGCCTTGATGCCCAGACCTGAAAAACATGCACTGCTGTGAGCTAAGGAAAACAAGTCAGCAGCAATCAATGGCATGGTAGAAAACAGAAGCAGGTTCTGTCAATGCTTTCTTGTATGATGGGGTTATGTTAGCCATAAGAAAAGTATTTCAGGCAACTATTTGGTCCAAGGTACGGCGCTGAGGGACTGGGAGGAGCTGTTCATTGCCAGATCTTGACATCAACACTCCCGATCAACAGTCAGACTGCCTGAGTATGATCAACATTCAGTGACCCGAGCGGCAACGCCTCAGATGGTAACATTCGCTGAACCAAGCAGAGATTGGACTGAAGCAACATCCATTCTGGGCTTCAAGGAGTTGCTCACAGAGGGGTGGCACCCTGCTTCCTGGATGCTCTAGCTTAAAGTTGATCCTTCAACTTTCCTGAAGGATGGTCCTCGGATCCTGGCAATGCATTTATGTGGATTGGCAGAAAGCTCCTGAAGTGCTTGTCCTGAGCTGTCTCTGAAGAAAGAAATGCATGGTCAGGACTGCAGGAGAGATATGCAACTTACGCTGTAGTGCTTGCAACTTGTCCGCCCACCAAACGTCCCAATGCCCCTTTCCGCCACGCTCGTTGGCACCAGCAGTGCGGCCAGTGCTCCATCCTTCCTGCTCCATGCGACCTGCCAATGGCAGCAGCTCATGGGAAGTGGCCGCATTGCTTTCCTGCCTACCGGTAGGTAGCTAGTTGCAGCACTGTGGCAGGCGCCATGTCGCTACCTTGGTATCTACTACCTACTTTGCATTGTCTGCTCAATGAAGTCAGATGACTTGCAGATTTGAAATCCTTTCTCAACGCTGTTGCAAGCATTCAGGACCGTCCGATAGCAAAGTTCCTAAATCGTACGGCGCGTCAGTACATATTGGCTGACGCGACGCTTTTCTGAAACCGGCGATCCCGGTAAGACTGATCTTACTCATGAGGTGCTCTACTAGCGCCGTAGTACTTAGCGGCATACGGGGCGTCACATACGGGGCCTGCGGAGCATAGGATATGTAGACTCATATGGCCTATTATTGTGTTCAGTGGGCTTATGTGTAACTTCAGCATAGCCTTCCTACTCACGGATTGAGGCAACATCGAATCAACGTGGTTTCGGATGTTGATCTGGCCGTTTATATTTGATCAAGAACTGGTCGGGATGTCAACGGATAGTGTTTCAACTGGTTATAATCATCATCTACAGGTTTTGATTCGTTTTTGGTGTTGATTCGACAAAAAACTGCGTGTTGAAATTATATTCTATTGATATTCCGTGGAATCAACACCATATCGACAAGAACCCAAAACGCTGATGT